CGGGGTTCTGTGATGCCGTCGCACGGACGGAGTTGACGGTGACCATTACTGCTTAGCAGTTCTTGGAAGATAAAGGTAATTATGCATCGTAAATTAATTTACAGATCTAATGCATGATTTCAAAAACCTGGCTCTGATACCAATTGTAAGCATAAAAATCTGTAATTATGCTAAATCAATTATGCGGAATTAACCTATATGCCAGGATTGAAATTCACTACATAGATCTAATTATACGAGTGCGAAGAGTAGACCCTTTCTTCTCTCTTCCTATCCTTTTACAGGATCACGTAGATTGATGGATTTGGGGAGAGGGTTTTGGGGAGAGATAACTGAATTCCTCAACGGAGAGATACGACGCTCCACACACTAACACACTCAACCACTAGAGATCCTGTCCGTTTATAGGCGAGAGCAGAGGGTCTACGATGAGATCTCAGAAGATTTCCTCCAGATATCTCCGAGGAATCGTTCCGTAGTGGACTTGGCTAAAATATCGCAACGGAACCCAATTCTATTATATATCTTATTCAATAAAAGGCCACATATTCTAACATCCTCCTCTTCAACCTTTTTTCGCCATCCTCTTATTTCCTGTTGTTTGAGAATGCTCTTAAATTGTTTTCTGTATATATATATATATATACATATATTTAGAAACTGATATATTTTCTTTATCCTAAAGGTAACATTATTCCAACCATGTATCTTAATAGAATATGTAATAGATTGATCTCGCAAATAAATATTTCCACGGAAATGCAAATACAATGAGAGGGAGAAAAATAAAACATAAATCATCACATCATCTTCTTCCTTTTTATGTTCCGATTTGACATGTTTACTGATTGTCTTTTTATTATATTCGATGAGAGTGAACTTCATGAAGGCAAATATTCTCATATTTTTCATCCACCCCCAACCCCCAAAATTATATTTTTTATTAAAAAGCTTAGTAGGTTGGCTCTAATCCTCTAAAAATCTTAAATTCAAAATAATTTTAAAATTAAATAAGAAATTAAGAATATTTCATATCAAGAGGAATATTTTGTTCCTTTTTTATTGAATTTAATGATAAGAGAAGTTTTAAACTTTAAGTTATAAAATAAATAAAATTAAATTAATTAAATAGTAACTTTAAAATTTTTATTAACATCCTTATTTGTTAAGACTCTCTAGGGCCCCTAAGATATCGCTATAGGTAGGCAGGTTCTCCGACTCTCTTAGTTTAATAATTTTATAATTTATATTTTAATATTAAAGTTAGATAATCTATTTTAGGATCAATGAAAGAATTCTAAAATTTTCTATTAATCGTATCTCTCTTTCTTTTTTAAAAGCAAACATGAAATTTAAAATTATAAATGTGAGTTATTGGTGCCCTGTAAACTAATCATGTAAATGATGACACGTATAACACGCTACATGATTTTTTTGTTGTTATTATTATTATGGTATTTTTCACTTTATATTGGATGATAAATATATTGAGACATCTTTTGATTTATGCAATGAGAATTGAATCATGATAAAATCATGATAATGAGATCAATTCGCTTGTAAATACATATCCTAAATATTCCTAGTCATAGATTGCTCGAGAGGGACATCGAGATAACTAAAGAGATCGATATACTCTATACCCATCCATATGATAGAGATATTTGGTCTCATACTTGCTTATGTGAGGATATAGTTTAGGTGCTCATTTGGGAATGAATTTACTGAATGATCTACTCACGAAAAGTTCAATGATTAATGATACCTCATCGTCAGACAATAGTTTCATAATCCCAATTGTGTATATGATCCTTATACTTGAGATATCAATGATGTCATGTATGAGTACTTCACTATTTGATACTGGACCTATAGGTTTGGAAGTTTCAAATCTAGCATGACCGGTCATCTAGAGTGAAAGTCAATCTTACAAGGATAATTAAGTGTCAATAGAGGATCATTCGTTCTTGGTGTCATTAGAGAAATGTCTCATGTATTCTTGCTCGGGCAAATCTCTGGTCATGGTTATTCGGATTAAAAGAGAAGTTCTTTGGGAGAATTTGATTAGAGCATACTCGAGTATATTTCATATAGGCTTGACATCATCATGCTTGGCATATGGTCTCTATGATATTAAATGGATGAAGGACTATAGGGGCAGATAGGTTCAATGAATTAGATCTCGTTGTACTGTCTAGCGACTATGGCGTAGTAGCCTAGTACACCCATAGTCGATGAGTTAAGTAAATTATTATAGAATGATAATTCACTAAATCAGAAGGAGTTTTGAGTCAAAAGGA